AATAAAATGAATTTCGTTTTGCGCTGCGCGCGCTGACAACACACACAAGCGCTGCGTGTGTGTGTGCGTGCGTGTGTGTGTGTGTGCTTGACAAATTTTATGTAAAAAGCAGCAACAAGAGGCAGCGGCAGCAGCAGCAGCGGCAGCTCCTCAACCAGGTGGCGGTCCAATGCATGCGTTGGCAATTAAAACTGAAGTTTTGCACGCTACATTTAAAGCGGCAACTGCAACTGCAACAGCAACAACAACAGCAACAACAACAACAACAACAACAACAACAACAACTGCAACAACAACAACAACAAGAGCGGCAACATTGTAGAAATGCAAACGGCGGTCATAAAAATTGTGGCAAGCGCAGAGCAACATGCAACATGGACAACGCGGCCTCAGCTCATGTGGAATTGATGTGCCATGCCTCGTCTGTCAGTCAATCAGTCAATCAGTCAGTCAGTCAATCAGTCAGTCTGCGCGCTGCTTCTGCCCGCTTTGTTTGAACTTTGTTTTCAATGCTGCACAGCCGCAACGTGTTGCGGCTTTTTATGCAGTTATGCCACAGACACTTGCCCCGTCTCGTCTCGTCTCGTCTCGCCCCGCCCTCTCCCTCTCCCTCTCCCTCTGTTTGCCACTTGCCATTAGCTGATTTGCAATTAAAAACTAAACACGTTTCGGCAAAGCCGACTCGGGCCCACCCACAATGCGGCAGGCGTCGATAGTCGACAGTCGACAGTCGACAGTTGTCGTTGTCGTTGTTGTTGGAGGAGTTGCCACATCGCAGCCAAGGCCAACAACACGTGCTGCGGGCTTGAACCTCACATGAACACGGCCAAAAGATGCATGAGCCAATTGTCTCTCTCGCTAGAGAGGAGCACGTGCATGCCTTTTATAGATACATGTGGCCATATGTAGTATATATATATTGTTAGATCGATCTGCGGATAATATGTTGCCTTCGTGCTTGTGGATTTGAACCTGCTTTAGACTGGTAACTGCTTCCTCTAGTGTGGCAATACACTTCAATACCCTTCATTTTAGTGAGTAGGGGCTTTCCATAGTTATACAAACAAGCGTGGAATATGGGTGAAAAGTTGTTGCTGTGTTAATTTTGTATTTTCATCAGATCTTATTTATTATTTATTTATTTGTTATACATTTTTCATTGATTAATTTATATTGTTCATTGTTGCATAGGCATAGGTTAAAGAGTAGGGGCATTCCATAGCTATACAAAACGAGCGTGGAATATGGGTGAAAAGTTGTTGTTGTCGTATTTATTATGCATTTATTTTTTATACATTTTTCCACAGAATAATTTATATTATAAATAAATTATAATTTATTATTGCATTTTAGTTGCGATTAACTTTTTGCTACTTCTTTATTTGTATAGAGTTTTTTTTTTTTTTAATTATGTTTTATGTTTTTCTTAATAATTATTATAAGAATAAATAACTTTGAAATAAAACATTATTAATTCTCAATAATAATTATTAATAATTGAAATTATTACTAATAATAAGAACAAGTAATTATCCTTATTCATACTATATAATTATTATTAGTTATTATGCATTATTATTTATATTTAATGAATTAGTTATTAATAATTCTAATATTTATTCATAGTTTATTTAGGCGCATTTTGTCACGACACTCACGACATTTAAAAAGCTCATGTGGCCAGCCCTAAGATGCCGCAGCATACTTTTTGTTGCACATAACTCTCGTGTGTGTAACTGTGTGTGTGCGTGTGTGTGTGTGTGCCGCATTGGCATTTGCATTGGCATTACATTTGGAGTTGGCCGACGTGGTTGATTATCTGACTCAATGCCATTGCTGCAGTTGTTGCAGTTGTTGCAATTGTTGTTGCAGTTGCAGCTCTTGTTATTGTTGTTGTTGTTGTTGTCGCATTGCCAGATCGATTTGTCTGCACAAAGCCGAGCGCAAATGTCAATTGTCGACGGGCACAGCACAGCACAGCACAGCAAATCAAGCCACAGCCACAGCCACAGTTAAAGCCAAAGCCAAAGCCAAAACGTGAGCTGGCAATTAAGCAACTGGCCAACTATATAAAAACGTGGCCCAAAGCTGAAGCCGAAGCCGAAGCTGAAGCTCAGCCTGAAGAGTCCCGCCTGCATTCACTGTGCACATGTCACAATATGCCACGCTGCAAATATTTGAATGTTAAATACCTAGCCCCTCCCTCAGCCCCTCTCTCCGCCTCCCGCTCGCCGGAACGTTGCCATTTCCATATATGTGCAAAGTCTGGAGCAGTTAAGAGAATTCGCTTTGCGGCCAACTGATTAGTTTTTCCAGCAGGCTGATGAGTATGTTTGGACAGACTCTGTGACGAATGCGCATCAATAGACAAATGCCACAAGTTGTGGCAAGCAACTGCAACTGCAACTGCAACAGCAACTGCCGCAAACTGTGGACTGTGGACTGTGGCCAATTTGTGTGCGTGAAGCTTGCCATTTCCGGGGCAAAATGACTGGAAAAGCGCGCGAAAATGTTGTGTGAGAATTTTCCAAGAAGCCCGCACTGTCTGCGCATAAACGATTGACTGTCTGATTGACCGACTGATTGACCAACTGACTGACTGCCTGACTGCCTGACTGACTGACTGTCTGACGGCGCGGCGTCTTCAAGTCTCGAGTTTAGTTTTCAGTCCGATTTTAATCATTTAATTAAAGTTTACATTTTTAATTGGTTCAACGGAAAAATTGTTAATCCTAAAACCAATTGGTCGAAGAGGCGGGTCGAGGGGCGGGGCCGAGCGGGGAGGGGGGAAGGGGGCCTACGTTTGTGCACGCAATTTGTAAATTTTCTTTAATTACAGTGAAGCACAAGTATGAACCACTTGGACTTGCACTTGCACTTGGCATTGGACACGCAACGCATATGCGGCCTGTGTTATTTTTCGTGGTCTACTCGCACAGCCCAGATACGAATAAAGATAGAAATGTATCTGCCAGATACTGCAATTACAGCTTGTTTTATTGTGCGAATTGTGCGGCCATTTACATCAATCAAATTGTTGTTATTTGTTTGTCTGTCTGTCTGTCTGCCTGTCTGTCTGTCTGGCTGGCTTCTTGGTTGTTGTTGTTGTTTTTGCTGCTGCTGCTGTTGGTCAGCGATGCGCGCTGGCCCAACCACGCCCACTTGCCCGGCAGCTGTTGTCTAATTGCCTGCGGCTAAAATAAGTCTACCGGAGCGTTCTTCAGAGATATCCAACATTCCCAAAGGAGACGGACAATATTAGTCAGAGCCGCCGCTCATCAACACGCTAAAAACAAAAGAGTTGGGCTTGCCTGACTGATGGGCAGATTGATTTAATAAATAAGTCAATCGACTGACTGAATGATAGGTTGACTGATTGACTGATTGGCTGACGGACTGACTGCTTCACTGACTGATTAGCTGACTGAGTGACTGATTAATTGGCTGGAAGATTGATTCATTGACTGACTGACTGATTGACCAACTGGCTGAATGATTGGATGACTGATTCGCTGACTGATTGGCTGACTGATTGACTGATTGACTGACTGACTGACCGATCGACTGACTGGGTGGATGGCTGGCTGGTTGACTGATTGCTTGGCTGTCTGATTGACTGACTGAAATCCTCCTTATATGCCGGAAAAATATATATTATTAAGAACTCATTGGGCCGAGCAAATGCGGATTTTGGGTTTTTTTTTCTGCAAATTCGCTATGCCTCCGGACGATATAGTCGAAGGTTCCTATTCGACATCAACATCCTTGGTAATCATGCCATAGATATAGTCCTAGTGAACCCGAAACCACGAAAAAACATGTATGTATTCTCAATTTCAGCCGTTCACAAAAGATGCTTTAAAATTCCTACCTACGGTACCCAGTTGACCCATGTATCCTTGGTTAGATCATACCATAGATACAGTCCTGGTGAACCTAAATACCCGATAAATAATTCACGCAAAATGCGTCGTGAAATATGTATGCTCTTTTCAGCCGCCCCTAGCAGCAGCAGCCACGCCCGCACGATGGTTCCTAGTTGACCGCCATATCCTTGGTTATGCCATGCCATTGATATAATCCTGGTGAACCTAAAGGACCAGATTTCTGCGAAGTTCGCATTGAAATGGTCCAAAAACATGCATGCTTTTTCTTTCAGCAGCCCTTTAACATGCTCCCCAACAGCTCTCTTTACTACAGTCCCTTTACAGTGGAAAAAGCTGCTGCTTAACAGTCCACTGTTATGAGCCCCGTGCGCGTATGCAATACAATTTTTAATTCCCAGACTTTTCTACTTGCTGGGCATTTCTGTTCGCCTGGTACTTCAGCTGAGTTTGTACCCAAATTTGGCCAGCCAGCGGCCGGCAATGCTACGGAATTGTTTATTCCCACAATATTCATCTACTTGCTGGGCATTTCTGTTAGCCTGGTACTTTTGCTGAATTTTTACCACAATTTGCTTGAAATAATGAAATGAATGAAATCAAATATTTTTTTAAAAACTTTAAATGTCCATATCTCAGCCAAATAAAGCCCGATCCCGGCCAGATTGGGAGGGTTAAGTCGCGCAGGTCCATAGAATAGAATGGCATCAAAGTTTTTTGATTTCAGAAAAAAGTCATTTTTCGCAAAAAACGTGATGTAACCCCTTGCCATTTTGATCAATTTGGGTCATCTCTTAGAATGTGGATTTTTGGATGGCAATCGATAGTCGGGCTCCGTACGAGTAGAAAGAGGTACATCACTCCGAAATCGGACTGTATTTACCCGAGATATTTCAATTCGAAATTTTTGAAAAAGCTTTGCACCTTGCCCCTGGGGGTATGCAACGAAATGTTTAGTTTCAATTTATTTTGTCCACCTGCTAGGCATTTCTGTTCGCCTGGTATTTCAGCTGAATTCCGACGAACAGAAACAGAAACAAGAACAACAGGAGTTTTTTTATTTATTTATTTATTTATTTTTTTTATTATTATTGTTCAATCATTAATGTACTTTATTTATATATATTCCTTAAAACTAGAAAGACATGAGTATAATATATTGTTTATTTAAGTTTATTACATTTTATTTAATTCTTATTTTATATATTTTTATTCTTTATGGCTATATCTTGGGTAAATAATGTCCGATTCTGGATAATCGATTGATAATATCTGCAATTCTTCAATCTGAAAAGATAAAAATATATTTGATTTGATATATATATATATACGATTTATAGGACATAGGGTAAATGTGGTCCGACCTGGAAAAGTTTGCGTGTTTTGGATTCTTGAATATCCATAGGCTCAATAGAACTATTTTACGTCATATTTATTAAATTGGATTAATATTTGGATTGATTTTTTGATGCAATACCAAAGACTTTATACGAGTCCATAAAGGACGATGATAATACATGAAAATCTGACTGATTTTCTACTCGATACAATGAAGCTTGAAGTTTTTGAAGAACTTTAAAAAACATGATAAATCGTCTACATAAGGTCAGATTTGTTGAATTGATATCTTTCTGATTCGGTTCGCATCTAAAGTTTTTAAATTCGGATTTAACACAATTTTTGATAGCTTTAAAAATCTGTAATTGGAAGCTCGTTCAGATTGGCCAGACGTAATGCTCTTATATCATAGGCAATAAGTTCGGTAGGCAGACGGTGTGGGATTTTAGGTGGGGGGGCAGGACGTTGCGAACATGCCACAGTTTGGCATGTCCTGTGGCCAGGCCAACATGAACAACAACAACAACAGCAACAACAACAGCTGCAAAGGCAAACAAAACACATAACTCAGTGCCACAGAGTTGGGTGCAGTTGTTGGCCTCGCCTGGCCGGCAGGATAATTTCTATGCCAGCCGCTGTCTGCCTGTCTTTAGTCATCAGCAGCTCTTCCTCTCTCCCCCCCTCTCTCTCTCTCTCTTTCTATCTCTCTCTCTGGCTCTGGCCCAGTTTTGCTAGCATGTCCCTGTGCCATTTGCATGATAACGTGTTTATAATTTTGACCCAGTTTGAGGCAAGTCAACGCCAGGACATGGTCTCCGCTGGCCAAGTTGTTGCCGCTGGAAAAGTATGGCACAGATTTTACAGATTTTCCCCAGCTATGCTGTCGGGGGCGGCATTTATCTAGTGGGCCGCATGCCTGTGCATTCCCGCTGCCGATGTCCTTAATTGCTGCGGCCCGATGTCCTTGCTGAAGCTCTTGTTACTGTTGCAGTTGCTGCTGTTCGGATTAACATGTCGACTTTTGGGCAACAACTACTCGCAACTCAGTCTGATTGCATTTTATGCAGCTCAGCTAAGTCCCCCCCCTCCCCCATTTGCATCACTCCCTTTGCTTGCATATTTTTTATGCAACGCCCAGCATTTGCCTCGCTGACTTTTTTTAGGGTGCGCTGCGTTTTTATTTGACTTGGGCGCTAATTAATATTTCACTGCAGATGCTGAACAAACAAAAGCATCAGCGGGTAAGAGGTGGGGGGAGGGGGAATCTAACGAACAGGGGGGGGGGGGGTTGGTTACAGCTGGCAGCGTGTCGTGACACGAATATAAAAGCTCGTAGAAGATGTGCACAAATGCAACTGAAAAACTTAATAAATCAAAATTTGAATTTATCGATATGAATTGATATCGATATTTTTTGACAGCTATTGGAAGTTGGTGAAAGCTGGAAATAAGTAATATGTTGCTTTCATTTGTGAGATAAAAAATAATATGACAAAGAATGTGCTGTTTAATAAAAGACTTTATAAGGAAATATATCGATAATTGCCGATATCGATAGCTCAGAAAACTGTGTGACGGCCTTCGAAGGAATATATATATCTATATATTTTATGTTCTCGATATAATTGTAAGCTGGAGAAGGCTTGCGTGTGTCGAGTTTGCTTTCATGCTGTTACATTTCATATTGTTCAAATAGCAAGCGATTTATCGATAATCGATAACAATTTTTTGTGAATTCAAAACAATTCTTTAGCATGAACTAGATGCCAATAAAATAGTTGTTGTTACGTGGCCAAAAACAATGCCTGGTAATATTTCGAAATGTATTGAAGTCCAATTTTACTCGTGCCGATTAATTTGTCCTATCGAGCACGCGCTCATCTCTAGCTGTGAGCTCTCTGGCATTTGCCACATTTGATGTTTGTTTTGAGTGGCGTTAAGAATTTTTCCTTGCGAGCTTTTCAATTGCATTCGCGGCGCGCATTAATTGAAAAAATTTTCTGCGCTAAATTTGCAAAAAAAATTTTCTTTTTGTTGTTGTTGTTGTTGTGTGCATTTTCCATTTGACGCTTTGTTTGTTAGTTTTTCGCTTCGCGGCGTTGTTGTTGCTGGGTTTTTCACAGTTTTGCCACTTGATGAAAAATATTTTGCGACTTTTCGGTTTCTTCTTCTTCGTTTTTGTGTGAGATTGAAAGGGTTTTCCACTGGTTTATTTGTTTTGGCAAGGCGACGCGACGCGACGCGACGCGACGCATTAATTTAAATTAATCACGCCGCCTCATTTTGCGGCAAGGAAGACATTAAAAGGGGACGCAATCATAAATTACAATCATGTTTAAAGGGGCAGCCACAAAAAAAAAGCCAAAGAGTAAAGCAAAGAAAATCAAGGCATAAATAAAATAAACTGGGCAGGGCCAGAGCGAGAGCAGGGAAAACTCGCGCAGTAAAAACCAAGAAAATGCAAATTTATAATTGTCGGCAAGGCGGCGTCAAGCAGCACAATGGGCATTAAATGCGAGAGGAAAAGCGCGTCGAAAATTCTTGATTATTATCAAAATTATTTGTAGCTTTTTCTGGCACTTTCTTTGGCTAGTTTCCCTATAAGAAGTACTCTCGACTGCACAACTCAGGCTGTACATCTTAAGTTCTCGATTTGCCAAATAATTCACACGATAATTTATCAAAAATATACATATATATAAAAACGACTATCGATAAAGTTGCGAGTTGCAATAAAATTTGATTGAAAAAGGTATACAAATTTATATTAAAATTCGATAAAATATGAAATGAAAACGCATATAACGATAAATTCATCGAAAATTTATCGATTCCCCATGAACTTTATTCGATTATGTTGCACACTAATCAATGATAGTTAGGACTTATTGATACTTTTGCGACAATAACGATTTACGTGTCAATTTAGGTAAAACAAACATTGATGTTTAGCTTTCGCTACGATATTTATCGCAAAATAACAATTGTTTATTTTGTTTATGTCGATACCGATTAATTTATCGGTTAAAATAACATATATACCTTTGGCATTCTATGTGATATCCAGCTGGTAATTAAGATTTATCGATACGTGTCGGACGATAACTATTCACTTTACGATAAATGTTTGCCGTTTATCGATTATTAGCTCTCGCTGCGATATCATAAATACGATTCATTTTCGCTTAATTATGCTTCACTTTTTGATCGAAGCAATATATTCCGTAAGCTTTAGCTTTCGCTGTGATGTAAAAAATATTTATCGATACCTAAGCAACGATAACGATTCACATGTCGACAAAATTCAGTCATATATCGATTTGTTGCATTGTTAAATTTAGCAAGACATTTCCTATCGATAACGTTGCACTTATCGATGAGCAGTTTCGCACCTAATTATGATATATCGATACGTACTCAACGATAACGTTTCACTTGTCGATAAAAGTAAGACATGTATTGATCTTTAGAATTTGCTACAATTGTCTAGATTATCGATACGATTTATTTATGATTTATCGATAACGCTTCACTTGTCGATAAACTTAAATCTTCTCGCTGTGACATAATTAGCATTTATCGATACTTTAGCAACGATAACGATTCACTTGTTTTGCTAAAACATTTGCTATCGATCACGTGTCACTTATCGACGCAAGCAATATATTTGTCGAGCCTTGGCTTTTCGTCTGCCCATTTGTCGATTTGACGGTTGCCGGCGGTTGCGGCTGCCAATATCTTCTGTGGCGACTCGCAACTCGCAACTCGCGGGCAACGCGAGCTAATTACAATAAATTATGCAAAACAAGCGACCAACTTGGTCCACGGGCGACAACCACGCCAAACTGTGCGACCGTTCGTAATTAGAAGCCAGAGTTGCTTTGATGTGGCCTCAATGTGTGCGAGAGTGTACAAGTGTGTGTGTGTGTGTGTACCTGGCAACCCTGTTGCCGGCGGTGCATCTATCTATCTGCATCTATCTGCCACTTTAACTTGCGCTGTTGTGGCCTGTGGCAAGAGTTCTTCCTCTTCTTCTTCCACTTCTAGTTGTTGGCTGTTTTGTCACTGCATAACGCTCATAATTAGCATGCCAGGCAGGAGGCAGGAGGGGGAGGGGGAGGGGGAGGGGTGAGGAGGAGAGGGGTGAGTGCGAGCAAGACAAACAGCTTGCACCTGCCGCAGGATTGTTGCTGTTGCAGCTTCTGATTAATTGTGCCTCAAAACGCGACCCCCCCTCCCCCCGGCTACCCTTCCCCCCCGGCTGCCTGTTCCGCTGCTTTAAGCACTTTGTTTGCCGCTTGCCGCGTTCCTGTGGTCTAGTGTAATCGGAGCCAAAGTTTTCTTTAGAGTTCGTGAAATGATAATTTATCTAGCTGAACATTGTTAAATTATGTTCACACTTCTGCGTCTGCTTTTTGCCTCGTCTTGTAAATCAAAAGCGATATTTATTTTTTCTCTTTCCTGCTTTTAATGGAAAATTAAGATGTCCTGGCTGCCCGCCCAAAAGCTGCCTGGCTGCCTGGCTGCCTGGCTGCCCGCCTGTCTGCCGTGTTGGTGTGGCTTTATTTATGCCCTTCCAGAGGGTATTATGATTGTGCCAGGAAATGTGCAACGCCTAGATGTTGACAGGGTTTACTCTATATCAGATCTCTGTACTCCCATTAACTCTTATGCCCGTCTGTTCCTACAGGAACTCAACTTCAACTGAAGATAAATGCCTGCAACTTGGCATAGATTCATTCTTATACTCCAGAGAGTATATATATTAAAGTAAGACTATATACTCGTTGGGCTAGACTAGATCAGATAGATCATATAGCACATGGATCATATGCCAAACAAGCTTTAATTTCGATTTCGTTTACATAACTTTCCTTTGTTTCTCAACACGTATTCAGCTTCCAGCTAAGTTAAGTATTTTCTTTATACTTATATTTGCATCTAATTAATATCGTATTCCTTTATCGAATTGCACCTAACAAACTTGTTGTAAAAAGTATCTTTATCTAGTTAGTTTGTCTCTAAGGGTATTTCATCTGCGGCATGCCCAAAATAACTATCCTTATTTCGCATTTTTTTCTACGCTGTTCGGCGTGGCAATTAGCTGGCCACCAAGCAAGTGACTAATGCACACGGCCAGCATGTGTGTGCGAGTGTGTGTGTGTGTGTGTGTGTGCGAGTGTGTGTGTGTGTGTGTGTGTGTGTGAATGCCACGACTGGCGGCACAGGCGACACGCAATAAATTAGCGTAAATTTACAACATTTGCTAAATTAAAAATGGCAAAAAAGAGAGGCAACAACAACAACGACAACAGCAACATCATGTTGCACACACACACACACACACACACAGAGGCAAATTGAGGCAACATTAGAGACGCATTAGCGTACGCAGGGCATACAAAAGGCTTTTGGGGGGAGCCAGCCAGAGGCGCAGAAAAACGCATGTCGCATGCCCCCATGCCGCATGCCGTATGCCCCATTGCCCCATGCCCCAACTGTTTGCTCGTTTATCGTTGCTGTCAGTCAGACTCAAAGGGGGCAATTAACGCGCCCAGCCGACGAGCAGCAGCAGCAGCAACAACAACAACAACAAGAGCAACAACAACAAGAGCAACAACGTGCGGCAAATAGTTTTGTCCATAGTTTGGCATAGACGCTGTCGCCATATTCCCATGCCGGGGCGACATATTGGCGACGCCATTTTGACGCTGTCGCTGTCGCACGCAAAGGACAATCGACAACAACAACAACAACAGCGACATCAGCAACAACAACCATGTTGTTGTTGTTGTCTCGGCCATCGTCTGGCGGCACAAACAAAACTGACGCCAATTTCTGCTCAACAGCAGCTACCCCTAGCTTCCCCCCCCCCCCCCCCCCCCCTCTTTAATGCTGCCCCAGCGCCTTTTTTGTGTGTGCTATTTTTTATTCCATTGAATTTATTGCGTTAATTTATTGTGTTTTGAACATCAAAAGCAGCCAACGACATTTGCATATTATTGCAAGTGTTTGCGTAATTTATGCGACTCCTTCCAAACTATTCGCCTAGCCAAAGTACCCTAGGATAAGGGTTAGGGCATGCCTAGTTCGTATATAGAAGCTTCGACATTTTTAATGGCCAATTTCTTGTATTTTATTATAAATTTGTTTGATGTCTTATGTTCGATTTAATTACAATTTAAATTGAAATCAATTTCTTTTTGCATTTTTTTTCGTTTAAATTAAAAACAATTTCTTTAATTTTTTAATTGCATTTGTTTTGCATTGTAATTAAAAAAACTGCTTTAATTTGTTATTTTTTCAATTAATTTATTTAATTTTTTTTCAATTTAATTAAAAATCTTTTGTTTAATTTTATTTTTGTAAGTTTGTTCTTTTTTTGAACTTAAATTAAACGAAATTATTTTTATTTTTTATTTAATTTTGTTGCATTTCAATTAATATTTAGAAAAATTGGCTTTTACGTTTACGTTTGAAAAACTTTTGCTTGAATTCCTTTTAAAATTTTTTGGTTTTTAGTGTTTAAATTTTGTCGTTTTTTAGCACTATTAAAGCCTTTGATCGGGTTTATATGGGCAAATGTAGCCGCTAGACACAACTGGCAAAATATTTGCTTTGTTTTTTGTTGTGTTCACATATTTGTTTAAAACTCATAAAACTCAGCTAACAACTGCGCAATACCCTACACTACACCTGCCCGGCTATATATATATACATACATATTTTAATAATAGTTCTAGCTAAAGAGGGCGCATAAGTGGGCGTGGCTATGTGACATTTTTTCTGAGAAACGATTGAATTCCTTGGATATTTTTCTGTCATTTTCTCTTTCGTATTTAACATATAAAATGTATGAATATTTCAAAATGTGATAAATATGAAGCGCTTACCTATTTCCTGGGCGTGGCAGCTGCATAATTCTGACGCGGGACAGAAAACACAGACCTTGCCTAGAAAATACAGATAATAAATATCAATAGATAAACTTATGGCATAGTAGCTGACACTTAAGTAAATAATAGGGTTAAGAAACATATTATGTATTTATTGAGGTTCTGGAGATTTCAAAAGTGAAAAACATAAAAAAAAAGCCTTTAATGCCAAATAAATGTCAAAGGAATCCAATTATAAATACGGAAGTTACAACTAATAGTAAATTGTGTCTTACAAAAGTTACCAATCTAGCCGCTAGATGGCGCCGCACTCGCTCAGCATGCACAATTGTTCTCATGCTTCGCAGAGCACAGATTTATGCTAATCTACTATTTTTATATTTGCACTGCAATGCGTGTGCAAGAGCGAGACAGAGAGAGAGAGAGCAAGTCTTGTGATGAGCAAAAAAAAAAAGAGAAGAGGCGAAAAAGCCAAAAATCAACGCGCAACGTCAAAAAGGAAATTGCAACAAATATGAAAATGAAAAATAAATTTGCCCGGCCACGAGTCAAACAATCTGCTCGCTGTTTAGTGCGCTGCATTCCCCAAAGGGGCGTGGTGCGGGGGGGGAGAGGGCGGACGGTGGGCGGTGGGCGGAGCGGTATTTTGGCTGGCGTAGCTGGCATGCGGCACAACATAAATCTTGGCACAGAAGTCAAGCGGGCCGCGGGCCCAGCAAAGTGCAAAGCAATGCAAGTCCCTTTCCACAGCCAACATCCCCCCTGACCAACCCCCCCCCCCCCTGCCCCCTGCCCCCTGCCCGCTGGCTGCAATTTGGTTCACTCTAATGCAATTTTTATGTGCGCCTGTGTTTTGGCTGCTCTTTCACTAAAAGCCAAATGAATTTTATTGACAAATTAATTGCAGGCAATGCCAGCAATTAAAATTGCAAACTGAAAGAAAAAAACTAATAATAATAAGTCGAAAAAAAGCTATTTTTATGTTCGCAATACGCACTGAAAACTCTTGTATCTGCGCTTTAATATTGTTACGATACATTTTTTTGATTTTTGTCTCACATTTCTCTCTCTCTCTCTCTCTCGCTCTCTTTTATTGCAGGTGAGTTCCGATTGGCTGCTGCTTAACTGTCGATCTGTATATCAATTGCCGTTTCTTTATGGCAACAACAGCGATAACTATTTAATATCAGCGTGAGTTAAGCTCTTATGATCGACTATAAGTTGCCCTGTAATGGGCTATTCGAATAAGAACTTTAAAGTTTTAGGATATATTTGGTTTAGCTAGTTGAAGAAAATACTTCAACAAAAAAAAAAACCCAATAACTTTTCTGCTTTTAAGAGGCTTACATTTTGTTAGAATTTTGACTCTCATAATTACAAAAGTTTATTTAACACAGTTTTAGGTCATTTCTTTAGAGCGTCTTAAAAAAAGTAATGAAAGCAAAAATATGTCGCATAAAATTTGAGGTTAGTTCAGATTTCACGGGATTATTTAGCTTAGTTACGCAATCTCAAAGATTCAACTCTGTCTTACACTGAAAATAAATCGCAGCATTACACAGCAAGAAAAACAACAACAATGGCGAAATTAAAAAATAGCATAACAAGCCGGAACGTCAATCAATCTCATTTTCTGACATATTACAAACAATTAGAGCAACTTATGCGTAATTGAACTTTTTTGGAGCTTCAACTTACAATCGTATTCGAATTTTTCTCTCTCTCTCTACCTCTCTCCCTCCCTCTCTTTCTTCTTGTTGAAACTAGTTTTGTGTTGCGTGTTGTTGTTGCTTTCTGTTTTGGCACCTGTTTACACGCTTTATTTGCGCTTGCGTGTGTGTGGGTAACCGTAAATCATTAAGCAGCCGAAAAAAAAAAAACAAAATGAATTGACAGCAACACGTGTCGTGTCTGTTGGAGACTTAAAAGCACACAGACAACAACAACAACAACAATAAGTACAACAACAATTGTAATTGCTACAGTTACAACTATCACAACAACAACATGTTTAAAACCCACGTGGGCTTATAAAACTTGAGTCTTTCAATTTATTGCATTGAAACTGAAAAGCTAGCAAAAAAAAATTGACACCATTTCAGCTGAGCGAAACTTGAGTCGGCGGCGGCGGTGGAGCAAAGAAGAAGCAAGCAAAAGGCCGTCGGCGGGTCAGCAGTCAAATATGCAAAGCCCCTGCCTGCTGGCCCCGCTTTGCTATCAATAAATTTAATATCGAGATGCGCAGGAAGCATGGAAAGAAGAAGAAGAAGATGCAGCCAAGTTTCAGGGCTGGCGGCACTGGAGCAAAGAAATTACACAGAAACGAAAGAAATGTAGGCAAAAGGCAGAAAAAAGGAAAAAAGAAAAAACAGCTGAAGCAGCGTCTACAAAAGTAAAACACCCTTGAGACAAGAATACACACACACATACATACATACATACAGACAGAGCGCGGATGCTGATAAACAAAATATGACAACGAAAATGTCGTAAGAACAAAAATACCAACAACAACGGGCATAGGAAGCAGCAAAAACTTAGCTGCAGCAGCACAAAAGCAGGCAAAAACTTTTACACAAAACACACACAACACACACATAAATACTCGACACTCACACTCACACACACACACACTTGGAGCGAAGGAGAGGCAAGCCATGCAGAACTTTCAACGGTTTTTTTCCTTTTATTTTGTCTGCCCAGGCGACTGACTGTGTTGTGTAAGGGGCGAGCTTTCGCTTCCCACTGTTGGCGCAAAAGAGATAGCAATTGCCGAAAGCGTCGCGCCGCCTCAGACGTATTTTGTTGCTGTAGGTTGTGGTGGGCAACTGTGTCGCTTGCTTTGGAGTTTGCTTCGCTACACAGACAGGCAGGCGGCAGGCGGCAGGGGTCGGCAGCGGGTGTTGGGTGGCTGGCTGGGTCAACTCATGGCTTAATTGGGTGGCTGGGCAGCGTCTGCCGAGACGCAGCCAAAGGGAAATTGCTTGTTGATTTTTTTCTTTCTCTTTTTTTATTTTTCGGACGACTTGTAAGCCGAGCGCTCGGCTGCGCTTCGTATGTCGGTTTGTCGGTCGGTCGGCGGTCGGTCGGTCGGTCGCACGCTTTTGCGCTTGTACATAGACGGCGCCTGCTGCTCGGTGTGCGTGTGCGTATGTGTGTGTGTGTGTGTCTGACGCCGTCTGCCTTTGCCTGCTGTACTAGACGCGCCCGGCGCCTCGCCCAAGCTTGCACGCGCGCGCTCTCTCTCTCTCTCTCTCTCTCTAACTCTCGCTCTTTGCTGCCTTCTACTCTTTTGTCTGCGCTGCGACACAGTTTTATGTGCCTGCTTGTATGTATTTGTCTGTGCGCGCGTGTGTGTTTGTGTGTTCATCTAAAACTTTGTTGTGTGCTTTTCTGTGCCAAATGTCGGTCGCTGCTGTGCGTGTGTTTGTGTGTGTGTGTGAGTGCGTGTGTGTGTGCTTCTGTGTCTGAAACTTTGGCGCGTGTTTGGCATTAGTGACAGTCATGTCAGCAAAAGTTTGAGGCACATTCAACATTCCAAGTTTATGTCGTAGTCGTTGTCGTTGTTGTTGTTGTCGCAGTAGCCGTTGCTTTTGGGCGTGGCACTGTGGGCGTTGGCAGACATGCTTCACGTTCCACAAGCACGCCCCGTTTGTCGCCTTCCCCAGTATTTTCCTGCTTCTTCTTTTACGTCTTACACATTAAAGCTTCGCTTAAAGCACTCAAATTTCACGAGTTTAAGTACATAATTAAGATAAGAGTCCTTTTTTCCGGAGGGGTTGGTTAATTTTTCTTGCAGGAACTATGAAGTTTGTTGCGGGGCGCATACATTCGTTGTCTTTGAGGGGGCGGAGTGGTGGGATGATTTCTGTCACTTGCCCCAAATCAAATTTGAAAGTTTCCCTTACAAATGGGGCAATTAAATCGAACTGCAACCCTTTTTTGAAGTAGCATTTCATGGAACTAGTTCGTGCGTGATATTTAAATGACATTTCGGTATAATTTAGTTATTTTCTTAAAATCCAATTACCGAAATATTGCGTGGTATTTAAAAAATACCATTTAGAGTAAATCAGCTTGTATTTTTTTGGACATATTCCAGGGAATTAGTTCATTCATGTTTAACTTTCATACTTTTTTGACATATTTTTGGGAACTTGTTCTTCAACATTCAACATTCTTGCGTTCAATGTTAATACTTTTGATTTTATTCACATTGATTTTTATACCTTTTCAACAAGTTATATGCTCGCTTGTGTTGGTGTATTAGGAACTAGTTCACTTACCCTATATGAATTCGAGTAGGACATGAAGATCTAGTTCTTAAACATTTAAATTTGCTGCCTTTTTCCAGCTGTGTTTGCTAAAATTGACGTTCATTTATTTCGTTAACGTTTGTGAATTCCAATAAAAGACTTTTGTGGATTCTTATGATTTACTTGTTGGCACCGTTTTCTTTTTATCTATTTATTTGATCACTTGTGAACTAGTTCTTGTCCCCAAACGAATCCCTTTTTTCGGAATTACTCGCGACAATAAAGACATTGGCCCAGATATTCGAATAATTTGCGGTTTTAAATGTCATCACAGCAGTTTCTTAGCCATAATCATCAATAATTGTCAGCTGTATTTTGTTAACTTCTTTTATAGTTTGTTGGCGCCTTTGTCCTTGTTTAGGTCACGCACTTTGAAAGCGTTTCGTTGGAGATTCGCTGGAGATTCCTGTGCCGCGTTGTCCCAAGCACGTTCTCCAGACGCGCCCAGCAATTACTTAGAAGCCCACTTGACCAGCTGGCCAAGTTGGCTCGAGTTGGCCCGCGTTGGCCCGAGTTGGTGTGATGCCTATCAATTTGTTGAAATCATTTCCGCAATTTTATTGCCTCGTCTGCTGGCCAGCTGGACAGCTCGTGCCATTGGAGCGCGGGGGCGTCAACGGCAGCGCCCTAAGTGGAAACTGTTTGTGGAGGCGTCTCTCGGCGCGGCCATAACTCTTTTGCAGCTGGGATTTTGGCTGCAATGTCTAAATTCCAGCTCGGCTAGGTCAAGTTTGGCTCTCTTTAAACTGGGTTGAACACGAGCCTGCTTGTAAAACGCCAAAAAATACAGCGAAAACAAAAACAAGCAGCTGCCCCGCGCAACTTGGTAATAACTTGTTTTGTTGCCGCTGCTGTTGAGCTGCCAAATGGATTTTTGCATTACAATGTCAGATTAATCAAAACGAGGCAGCAGCAAAAAGCTAAAAAAAAAATAGAAGTGGGCTCAGGCTGAGAATGCCTGACTAGCAAATACCCTAGCAAATATCGCTACGCTCTTAAAATAAAGAGCATCAAAGGGACAGATTCCGATTTCATTCAATCTTTGAGATATACATAAAAAATCGTTGCAAATCAATTTATTTATCGATTCTATATAAATGGGACAACTATCGATAAAACATTAATAATAAAAATGCAAGTCTCTCTAGTTTTTTTCTTGGCTAGATCTGGAATATATACAGATATATGTATATGCTGTCTTCTTCTGCCTGTTACATGCACTTGCACAAAACCAATGCACCCACTTTTCTTAGCTATTTTCAAGGGGTATCGAAAAACGTTAGAGAAAACCGACAATTGTTTGGCCAAGAGGCAGGCAGTCGGCTGCGGCAACGGCTGGGCAACGGGAGTAGAGCTGGGTTGCGGGGTGCGGCGCATGGTGTTTGCTGCGCTTCACAAGAAATACGAATGCATAAAATTTTATGTTTTTCTGCTACTTGACGTTGGCAACAAGTGGGCCAAGCCAACAGCAATAGCAACAGCAACAGCCATGGCCACAACCGCAGCAGCAGATGATTATCAGCAACAACAACAACAACAACAACAGCAACAACTGCAACTGCAACAACAACTGCAACTGCAACTGCCACTGCATTAGTTTTTATTGAGGCAGTTGGCTGAGCTGACGTCGCGGCAGACACAGCGGCATTGCAACAACTGCCACAGCAACATTTTCATTACCATTCATCACCTGGCACCTACCGCACCCCAACCCCGCCCCGCCCCGCCCCATCCTACTGTACAGCAGCAGACGGTGACGCGACGGCCACTGCAAAACCTTGTGCCACAAGACACAAGACGTTGAGGAGACCTCGACTTCCTTTGGGTCGCTGCACAGCAGACCTTGCTGCCACTTGTGCTCGCTGTTGCTGTTGCAGTTGCCGCTGTGGCAGTTGCAGTTGCAGTTGCACCTATCGCGGTTTCGCCCAGCGGCGCATCCAACAGGCCTGGCGGCCATGAAGAGCTGCAAATTTATTAGAATTATGGCTTGTGAGACTGCTGCGAGACAATCCGCGGCCAGATCGGAATTGTCTTCGCATATATATTCTTATTTATACTTAAATATAAATATTTATGCCAATATATATGCTTACCCGAAAATTCTCATTGACACGCAAAGTTATTTTATTGATATCTACATTTAGGAGGGTGAGTTTCATAAATAAATATTCCTGGAAGAACAAAAGAAGTGGAGATTGTAGTAGAATACGAGAAGGAAAGGGGAGAGAAAGAGAAAGAGAGAGATAGAGAGATGAATAGAGAGGGGAGAGAGAGAGAGAGAGAGAGAGAGAGAGAGAAGGAGAGACAGAGAGAGTGAGAAAAAGAGAGAGAGAGAGATAAAGAGAGAGAAAAGAAAGAGAGCGAGGATAAAGTTTATTGGATACCCAACACAGCTTGTCAATCAAATCATGAGAATCTCATAGAAGGGCGATATTCAAATTAGGTCTGCGTTTGGTACATAAAAGACAGATATATATAAAGTTTATCTATTTGCAAACACAACTCATGAATACAATACTTTTAGCCAAAGCGTGAAAGCCTTACTTGAATTCATGAGAATCTCATAGAAGGGCGATATTTAAGCTTGGCTTGGTTTGCGTTTGGTGCTTATCAAAGATATAGAAGTTTTCGATGCCATAAATAAATAAAGTATTTAAATATATACATATTTTAGTTTAGTAAATAACTGTGTAGTAAGACTCAAACTAATTGTAGACTAGGAATTGACTTTTGTAATTATGAAAGCTATTCGAAATATTTACATATGAATAGTCTAGACAAACTAGCTATTAATGAAAGGTAGAACAGCTCCATAGTTAGCTATATCGTAAATAGTTTAATCATTTAAAATGATCTCTCATTTATTATCGTATATTGCTTTCTTGGTGCGTAGAAATTCACGTGAGCTGTATTTTTCCTTGCGCCCTCATTAGCAGCCCGACTCGAATAGGTTTTGATTAGTTGGAATAGGCGCTTGTTTTGATTTTTTGCTGATGGTCCAGGTCCATTCGGGTTGTGGAATACTTAGCGCCTTGGCGTTAATTTCACGCGAAGTATTTGCCAACGCTTCATTTGGCGCATATTATATTTGTTTTCGGGTCGCAATTGACGTCCAGACGTTCGAATTCGTTAAGGATGTGCGCCGTACGCAATGTCCTTTTAATTTGGTAATCTGTTTTTGCTCCCTGTCTGGACATTTGTTTTTCGTCTAAAAATCTATAGCGTAATTATGCAAAGGGCAAAGGTTTCTTTCTCGCTTTTCGAATGCCCATGTGTCCTGATGTCCTGCTGTCCTTATGTCCTGCTGTCCTTAGCTGTAACAGTTTGAATGTTCTGTAGCGCAGACAGCTGGACAGCGCCTTCATTTAAAGTACGTTAGTCAGCACATCAGAAGGCAAAACAACAGTCGCCACGGGGGCTCCATGCGGCGTCCAGACAGCTACGGCCCCAAAGCCGACCCAGACCCAGACCCAGACTCAGCGACCGAGCCCGAACCAAAGCATTTACACACGCAGCCATTGCTGTTTGCCATTATAATAACATAGTGTATATGCTTTGGGGTATCTGAGCTACAATATGAGAGTTGTTACAGAGGGTTTATCTTTGTATCTTTTCTTTGTATATTCCTCTTTGCGTAGCATTCGTTAACGTTTTGGCATTTACTTCCTCATGAAAGTGACAGTGACAGTCTCGGTCTCTCTTGTTTGTCTTTGGCATGCTCTCTTCTTAAATTCTCTTTTACATTGCATTCGTAAACGTTTTACTGACTGGTGACTGATCGCTTGCTGTACACTTTTTCGCTCAAATGTTTTCTGAGTTGCATTCCTTAAAAGTTTTGCTGGCTCGATAATAAATTATTTCTTTTAGCTCTCTAGTTTTTTTTTACATTGCATTCTTAATCGTTTTGCTGGCATTTTTACACAGCATTTCTCTTAACTTTCTAGATAAACGTTTTCCTGGCATGTTCTCATTTGCCCTTAAGTTTTTCAATAAGTTCTTCTTTACGCGTCATTCGTAAACGTTTTGCTGGAAAGCTCTTACTTCTATGGATTTGAATTGTCGTTCTTTCTTTTAATCTCTCTTTCTCTCTTGCTTTGCATTTATTCTTCTTAGGTTTGCCTTCGTAAACTTTTTACAGTCAGCATTGCAGCATGAGAAATAAATTGTACAATGAAATCTAAAAGTTTCTAGACTTTTTCAAACGAAAGTTATGCATTTTATAAACTTCTGCAAGTATTATAATAAAGCGTATTAAAGTTTCGTTAGGTCAGGCGGGGCTCATTTGTTTTACTCTCTATTTTGTTAAAGTTCTTATTGTTGTTGTTGGTATCGCACGCTTTTATGAGATGTCGTGAAGGACGAACAGCAGCGGTCGCAGCAACAAAACAACATAGCAAAACAAAAAAAAAACGACATTTGCTTTTAATGGCACAAAAGGAAAAGGAAAAGGACGAGCAAAGGGACACAAGGATGAGTTGTTGACTAGGCCGTAGGTTCATAACTGTGACTGCGACTGCGACTGGGCAGGGCTGACAGCCACATCGATAAGGAATGAAACGGCACAATGGACAATGGGCTGACCCAGCAACAGGACTAAAGGACACAGACACACACACAGAAATACAGACACACACACAGACACACACACTCGCACAGCGTCGGCAACGACATCCTTTTTCCTGTCTGTGCCCGGCCTGTTTGCTGTTGTATTTGTATCCGTGTCCGTGTGAGCTCCATTTTCCGCTAGCTATGCATGTGTATTGGTGCGCGTGTCTGCCGCGTCCTGGCCAACGCCGCCGCCCGGGCGCGCCTGTCGAAAATGTTTTCCATTTCAGTTAGCAAATTATGTCGGCCAAAAGCGAAGCAGAAGAGTCGGAAAAAAAAAGACGGCAAAATAAATGAAAGCCCAGACGCGACGCAGTTACCAATTGCTGGGATTGGGTGGGGGAGGGGGGAGGGTTGGTTTGGTTCCTTGTGTGTGTGTGTTTGTGTGCAGAGGGGGTTGAGCAGGCGCTGGGGAGCTCTGTGCGGACTGTGTTGGACATGTTGTTATGACATGGCGGGACGACAAGAGCACAAAATACAAAAATGAAAGAGGAATCAAGAGTTTTCAATGGGGGACTAACAGATACCCTGTAGCAGCGAGCTGAAGGATAGCAGACTGTATACAGACTATGGACTATGGATTATGGATTATGGAATATGGAATATGGAATGTGGAATATAGAATATGGAATGTGGAATATGGAATGTGGAATATGGAATATGGAATATGGAATATGGAATATGGAATATGGAATGTGGAATGTGGAATATAGAATATGGAATATGGAATATGGAATATGGAATATGGAAAACGGAATATGGACTATGGAATATGGAAAACAGAATATGGAATATGGAATAAGGAAAACGGAATATGGAATATGGAAAACAGAATATGGACTATGGAATATGGAATATGGAAAACGGAGTATGGACTATGGAATGCGAACTATGGAATATGAACTATGGAATACTGACTATGGAATATTAACTATGGAATATTAACTATGGAATATGAACTATGGAATATAGACTATGAACTATGGAATACGGACCATGGAATATGGACGTTATGGAATATTGACTATAGACCATAGATTAAGGACAAAGACGAAGATCTTATGGCTTTTGACTGTAGACTTAATAGCTTGCAATGTATCCGTAGCACTGCGAACCTTATCTAAAGCAGCTTACATATCGAAAACAATGGGGAATATCTCCCTTTTTCAGTTACAAATCCCCATATACCCTTTCCCCCATGTATACGGAGTGTTGCATAAACTGCAGGATCGCCATTTGCGTTCTTGTTATTTTGTCCCTGTTCGGACGCCATTTGGGACCATTTTTACTTTTCCTTTTTCCTCGACGGTTTTGTTTTTCTCGCGTCGGTTTTCTGTTTTGTTTTTTTTTGCGCTCTGCACTTGGCTTTTATGGTTGTTGGCGACGCGTTCCGCTTGAATTACGGGTCCAGCGAGCCGTGAGCAGCGGGTGCTTCGCAAATAAAGTTGCAAAAATGCGAACAAGAAGAAGATGCCCACGGGATGGGCGCCAGAGGCGCGAGGGAGCGGGCGAGAGAGGGAGGGAGGGCAGCGCTTGAGCTGGCAGCCATTTTGAAAAGTGTGTGCTTATAAAAACAGAGAGAGAGAGAATATGAAAAAAAAAATTGTGACTGCTGGCAATCATTGTGTCATCGATGATAAAGATTAAACCGATGGAAGTGGGGCTGCTGGGGGTGGGGGTGGGGGTTGGGCAGTGGCAAGGGAGGCGTGGTGAGGCGTGGCGTGGCGAGGGGCGGAGCTGTTGCTGCCCCAACAAAAAGCAACTGCAATTCCATTGTAAATAGTCAGAGCACTCGACATGCAAGCACAGGCAAACAGACATGCAAACACACACACAAACACACACACTCACACTCACACACACACACACACACATACAGTAGTTGTTGTATTTGTATGCGCAATGCTCTCCATTATGTGGTGCTCGACAAGAATGTGTCCCCGCATCTGCTTTTGGCCAGCGGCAGCCAAGAGCCTCAGCCGCATGTGTGTGTGTTTGTGTGTGTGTACAGCTGGGTGTGGTTATAAGTGTGTGTGTGTGCGTGTGTTTGTTGCTGTTGTGCAAAGTGGCACAAAGTGCTGGCATAGGACTCTTTTAGGCCCTGCCAGCTGCTGGTTTGCTTTTTGCTATAATACTTTTTTTTTCGCTTCTGCTTTTGCTGCTGGTTTCTCATTACAACCAAACGACCTTCAGCTTGGTCCCTTCAGCCGCCGCCCTCAACCCCCCTCCCCCTGACCACGCCCCCGCCGAAAATGTAAAAGTGCAGAATCAGGTCATGCGGGCGTTGCACGGCTGCGGGGCGTGGCAGCTAAAAACCAAATTGTAACCAACAACTTTGTACGGTCGAGCAAGTGAGTTGTGTGTCGCTTTGCCATTTAGAATCAGAGCAAATACATTTAGCACACACACACACACACACACACACACACACACACACACTCGAACCACAGGCAAGTGTGGTTGCATTGAGAGCTGTTCTCATGGTTCTCTTCTTGTCGAGCGGCTGTCGATTTGGCCATTGCGACAGACAAATGACAAACACTCGGGAATTTTATTTCTATTTCTA